ATAGTATTATTACGAAATTTTTGGAAAATGGGCGTGAACCCGCCCACTTATGATAAAATGCTGAATCTCAGTAGCCGCTTCACCAATCCTTCCCAAACCTGTTGAAAATCTTTGAAATTGGGCAATAACCACGCCCAACTCCCATGTACACGCCCAACTCCCCAGCACAATTATTACCTTGACATAGAAAATCGATATGTTGAAAATTTTCGAAATCGGACCAAAATTACGCCCACTTTCAACTCCCAAATTGCCCTCGCTAGGGCAGGCACCTTGTCGTTGGTGCGGGGGCTTAGCTGAATTTCCGATCAGCCCATCTCTGGTCTGGGGTTTCGTGGACGCGCTCGTCGCTTCTGCGCTACCTTGTCTCCAGATTGGGGCTGCCGGCAAACGGTGACCAAGAACTGCCACCTCCTAATCCAGGGTGTTACGCGACACCGTGCCTATTGGACGGTTTGCAGCCAGGAGGGAATAAACCGGCTGTAATATAACGGCGCCTCTTCGACACCGGGCCGCATCGAGGAGTAACGGTGGCCTTACCGCGACATGGGGAGCTGGCGCGGTTGACCAGATGAGTCCGTCCGTCTGTCCGCCTGACCGTCCGTCCATGTACACGATAACTCGAGAAAAAATTGAGATATATCAACTAAATTCGTTTTGTAGGTTTCCCTTTACCCAAGGTAGGTTGGTATTGAAAATGGGCGAAATCGGGCTTTAACCACTATAACGGTATTTTCGAAAAATGCAAAGACTACGATATTTCAGTAAATATTGGATCCAAACTGTTGAAAAATAGTAAGTGAAGTCGAATTTTGGTAAAAAATAGTATTATTACGAAATTTTTGGAAAATGGGCGTGAACCCGCCCACTTATGATAAAATGCTGAATCTCAGTAGCCGCTTCACCAATCCTTCCCAAACCTGTTGAAAATCTTTGAAATTGGGCAATAACCACGCCCAACTCCCATGTACACGCCCAACTCCCCAGCACAATTATTGACCTTGACATAGAAAATCGATATGTTGAAAATTTTCGAAATCGGACCAAAATTACGCCCACTTTCAACTCCCAAATTGCCCTCGCTAGGGCAGGCACCTTGTCGTTGGTGCGGGGGCTTAGCTGAATTTCCGATCAGCCCATCTCTGGTCTGGGGTTTCGTGGACGCGCTCGTCGCTTCTGCGCTACCTTGTCTCCAGATTGGGGCTGCCGGCAAACGGTGACCAAGAACTGCCACCTCCTAATCCAGGGTGTTACGCGACACCGTGCCTATTGGACGGTTTGCAGCCAGGAGGGAATAAACCGGCTGTAATATAACGGCGCCTCTTCGACACCGGGCCGCATCGAGGAGTAACGGTGGCCTTACCGCGACATGGGGAGCTGGCGCGGTTGACCAGATGAGATCCTCTTTTACAACTTTGACTGCTGAGCTTGCCTAGCCGAGCTGGCAGTCGTACGAACAAGATGAATACAACTAAAAACCATAAAAACACAAAAACAACAAAAACAACAAAAACCAACGCGAAATCCGCGAAAACAGCTACAGCTACAGCTACAGCCACAACAGCTGCAACAGCCACAACATCAGCAACAGCTTCTACAACAGTCACAACTACAGCTACAACAGCAGCAGCAGCCACGAAGACAGTTATGTCAATGGCACCAAAGGTACCAACGGCCAAGCTCGGCAGTACTATGCTGGGCGAAAGTAAAGGCACCAGGCGCAGGGGAGGCTTTCTTGCGAGCCTATCCGAGGAGGAGGCTGCCCTTTTTATTGAACACGCCAGAGAAGATGAGAGGCCAAGCACTAGCAGTGGCGGCGTGGATCGGGCGCAGCTTCGGTCGGAGGGCACCAAGGGAGCAGAGGCTCTGGCCTCAAAAAATAGGCACCGATCGCCAAGCAGGAACCGGGAGGCCAGTCGGCGTCGCTCCAGGAGTCGTGACCGCTTCGGGAGCCATGACCGCTCTGGGAGCCGAGGCCGATCCGAGGGTCGGCATCGCTCGAAGAGCAGGCATCGCTCAGGCAGTGGGCACCGCTCTAGCAGTAGGCACCGCAGGTCTCCTAGTCGAACCTCATCGCTCGAGTCAGGGTGGCAGCTGCAAGACAGCAAAAAGAGAAGCCGCAGGTGTAGACCGCCTCCACTTCCGCCCTCCGGTCAACCGGGAGCCCTTGACGACCACCATCGAGCTGGTCTTAGTGGGTCGGGAGTCAAGTGGTATCTCCGGTACCTGGAGCAGGGGAAGAAGCCGAGCGTAGCCCGCGCAATGGCGGAAGTAAGACAAGAGGTGGAGAAAGAGGCACAAGAGAGTGGTAAGACGGCTGCAACCGCTGGTATGCAGCAGAGAGGTGAACTACCCGCGCCTGCTGAAAAGCAGAGAAGCGGGCAACAGCAGCAGAGACCCGCGCCCGCCAAATGGCGGAGAAGCGGGGAACCCACAGGTACCACAACAGGCTCAACAACAGCTACTCCAAAACGCACCAGCCTACAGGTCACACCACCTGAGCCACCGTCCCCCAAACGGCCGCGGGGGCTCCCACCCCCTCCAACAGAGTCTAGGGGCTTGGATGGGTCCGCGGGCCAGGGTCAGCCACAGGAGGGAATCACTAAGCAGCCTAGCTATTCGGATGCTCTTAAAGGCATCCGGGTGGCTGTACTGCCCTGTGATTACCCTGCTGCTGCCCTAAGCCCTGAGGACCTGACCAAACTCCAGGACGCCATCATGGATGAGGTCCTTAAAGGGTGGAAGCACGCACTGGTCTTTTGTGGGGTATTTTTCAGGTCAGGTATGCTCCTTGTGGACTGCAAGGATGAGCGGACCGCAGCATGGCTGGTGGATAAGGCACCAAACATTGAGGGATGGGAGGGGCCCGCGTTATGTACCAAGAGGGGGGATGATATCCCGCCGGTGCATAATATCTCGGTGTTCTTCCCAAGATGCGCCGATAAATCGGCGGAGTACGTGCTGGGGCTCATCAAGGCCCAGAATGAGGACATCCACACTGCTGCGTGGAAGGTGGTTTCATGCGGCGCCGAAGATAACGGTCTCAGGCTCAACCTGGGGATCGATGAGGCGTCGTATGTCAGCATTAAGAGGGCCGGATTCACAATCAACTTCCGGTACAGTTTTGTTACGGTGCGGCCATGGCGGCATAAGACGACAGGCAGCAAGGAGTCAGAGTCCCAAGACATGCAAGTCGACGAGACTACTGACTCCACTGCTGCCCCAGCGACCGAGTCGACCACGGCCCCACTGGGAGATCAGCTATCGGAATTAGCACAGGCACCAGCTCTTGTGAGCGCTCCCGGGCCAAGTGTCACCGACTACATGCGCACCACACAAGAGCTCCTAGCGGACATAAGCAGGCTCGAACTCGACAGAGAGGGCGAGGGTGAGGCACGGCTCTCGAACATCGAGGACGAGCCCCAACTATGAGCCCAACAGCGCTAACAGTAGCCCAGGTCAACTTGCATCACGCGGTGGCCGCCTCGGCGATCATTGCAAGCAGGTTTGCCACGGAGGACCTGGGAATCCTACTGATTCAGGAACCGTGGACCTACAGAGGCCAGGTGAGGGGCCTCAATCATAACAACAATAAGGTAATTTGGGACCTTTCCTGCGAGAGGCCCAGAGCGTGCGTAGTGCTAAAGAATAATATTAATTACTTTTGCATTACAGAATTTCTTACACAGGATCTGGTAGCGGTCCAAGCTACCTTAAGGGTCAACGGGAAGGAACTGGAGGTGGTCTTGGCTGCAGCCTACTTTCCGGGGGACAACGCCAACGTGCCGCCTCTTGAGGTACAGCAGCTGCTGGAATTTTGCCGCAGGAAACGACTTCCGGCGATTCTTGGCTGCGATGCGAACGCCCACAATATAGAGTGGGGCAGCTCGGACACAAACCGTAGGGGTGAGTGCTTATTAGAATATATTATCAGTGAAGACCTGTGCATCCATAATGTCGGTAATGAACCAACGTTCATAACCAGGGTCAGAGAGGAGGTACTCGACATCACTCTCAGCAACAGACTGGCCAGCCCTCTGATCGTTCAGTGGCGGGTCTCATCTGAGCCCTCACTGTCGGATCACAGGATTATCCGATTTGCACTGGGAGCTGAGGTTCTGACAGGTCACCCAAAGAGGAACCCCAGGAAAACAGACTGGGATAAATATGAAGAGGTACTTAGGTTGAACCTAAGCAGAATAGAGGCACAACATAGAAAGGTGGATTGTATGGAGTTAGAGGACAGGGTCAACAAGCTGAACGGCACCATTCTGGATGCCTTTACCTCCAGCTGTCCCGTGTCAAAGCCAAAAGGGAAAGCTCAGCCTCCCTGGTGGACACGGGAACTCTCAGTTCTTAGGAAAGATGTGCGAAGACTTTTCAACAGGGCAAAGCGCACCGGGAGCTGGGAGGAGTACTCAGTCTGTCTAACAAAATACAATAAGGAGATTAGGAAGGCCAAGCGTAGCAGCTTCAGAACCTTTTGTGAGAATATCGCATCTACTCCTGCAGCTGCTAGGCTGCATAAAGCCTTAGCGAGAGACAACACAGGGACCAGACTGGCTATTAGGCTACCTAATGGGGCCTTTTCAGGTAATGAACAGGAGAGGGCACTCGCCCTGCTATCGGCCCACTTTCCGGACGCCATTCCCACCGCTGGGGATACGTTGTTCCGTGCGTTCAGGCCATCCCCACCGGACTGGAAGGTGGCTAGAAGCCTTATAAACCGGCAAACAGTGCGGTGGGCTCTGGACTCCTTCGAACGGTACAAGGCCCCTGGGGTGGATGGTGTATGTCCGGCGCTACTAAAGCAGGGCGGGGAGCTCTTACTGCCACATCTGGTGGACATTATGAGGGACAGTCTAGCACTGGCTCACATTCCCAAGGTGTGGCAAAGGGCTAGGGTTACTTTTATCCCGAAGGTAGGTAAGAGGGATTACTCTCTTGCCAAGTCATTCAGGCCGATAAGTCTCACATCCTTTATGTTAAAGGCAATGGAGAAAATTATTGACCATGAAATCAGGTATAACACTCTAAAACAAACCCCTCTGCATTCCAACCAGCACGCGTACAGGGTGGGGAGATCCACGGATACTGCGCTGTATGCCTTAACGGAGGAAATACAAGGGGCCTTTGAGTGTGATGAGGTGGTGCTCTGTGCCTTCCTCGATATCGAGGGGGCCTTCGATAACGCCTCCCATTTGGGAGTCGACAGAGCTCTTGGGAAACATAACGTTCAGCCAACCATCCGAAGATGGATAGCAAGGTTACTTCAGACCAGGATTGCCGAAACTGAAGTCGGTGACAGCGTCGTTCAAATACAAACGACTAAAGGGTGCCCACAAGGGGGGGTATTATCTCCTCTACTGTGGAGCTTAGTTGTGGACGAACTCCTACAGATACTCACTAACGAGGGCGTCCGCTGCCAAGGGTACGCGGACGACATAGTGATTATCGCTAGAGGGAAGTTCGAAAGTACTCTCTGTGACATCGTCCAAAAAGGACTTAACCTTGCGAAAAGGTGGTGCATAGACGTAGGTTTAAATATCAACCCTCCTAAGACAGCCATAGTCCCCTTCACCAAGAAACGAAATCTCCAGGGGATGAGGAACTTGACCTTGGACGGGGTCGCAATCAGTGTCGCCACAGAGGTTAAGTATCTGGGGCTTACCCTGGACTCCAAGCTTCTGTGGAGGGCCCATGTTGATGCGGTCACCTCTAAGGCCACGAGAGCGATGATGGTGTGCAAAAGTCTGGCGGGTAAATCCTGGGGGTGCACTCCGAGGATCCTCAGATGGATGTACACCATGATAGTGAAACCAATAGTGACTTATGGTGCGGTGGCTTGGTATTCCAGGGCTACTATAGGAACGGTGAGGCAGACCCTCTCCAAGATTCAACGTCTGGCATGTGTTTGCATTACGGGAGCAATGCGCACATGCCCGACGGCAGCGCTAGAGGTAATACTGGAACTCGAGCCACTGCATCTCTCAATTGAACAGGCTGCAAAGCGAACCCTCCTTAACTTTGCGAGAGAAGGCTTCGGCAAAGGCAAGGTGTTATCATCTAGAAACAGGGACAAGCTAGGTACCCAGCCCCCCCTACGCTGAAGCTTTCGGTGTCCCTGGGGACTTTCCATAGCATCTTTCAAGCGGAGGTCTATGCCATCAGTATGTGCGCTGAGATTAATATTCGCAGGAACTATAGGAAGGAAAGGATACTTATACTAAGTGATAGCCAGGCGGCAGTAAGGGCCCTCTCATCATTCGAGATCAAGTCCTCCTTGGTTAGGGAGTGTGTCGAGAGGCTCAATGCTCTGGCGGAGGTCAATGATATCCAACTAATGTGGGTACCAGGGCACATGGGGGTCGCAGGAAATGAGGAAGCTGATCATCTGCCCAGAACGGCCGCTTCCTCGACCCCGATAGGACCTGATCCCTTTCTGGCAGTAGGACCAAACACCATAAAGGAAATGCTCAGAAGGGACAACAGCAAACTGAGGGAATTACACTGGCTTGGCACCATGGGCCAACGTCAGGCAAAAAGCTTATTAGGAGGTTACAATCTGTCAAGATACAGGCTTCTCATGGATCTCCCAAAAGAGAAACTAAGAATTATTACAGGTTTTTTGACGGGCCACTGTAAGCTCAGAGGGCACCTGCATAAATTAGGTATCTGGTCCAGCGACCTGTGTCGCTTTTGCGATGCAGCCAAAGAGACTCCTCTACACCTTCTTATGGAGTGTGATGCCGTTGCACGCAGGAGGTATAGGAGCATAGGGCATGTCTGGCCAAGAGAGGAGCACATACACTCACTGTCCCCGGGGT